GTGGAGAACTGTCACTGATAAATTAAGGTTGTGGACTTTTAAACTCTTCGAGTGAGAGCACTAAAATCATAAGTTTTGGATTTAAATTTATAGCCTAAATTAGATGAGAGCTTTCTAAGAATTTTACACCATATTCCAGCCAAACCTCTGGGTAAGTATCCCCGACAGTACGTACAGGCAAAAACAAGTTGAAACACGCACCTTCTGTAGATAAACAGCTGAACAGCATCACTCCAAAAATCTTGCAACAAACCACTAGCCTGTAAGACCTCTTTGTTGAGTAAGACATGCTTTACAGTTTCCAGCCGGAACTAAAGTTAAAGAGATAACTGAACCCTACTTGGAGCACGAAAATTAATTTGGCGATCGATATAGCGGTCTTCAAGAGTCACGAGTGTCTTAGCGAGAGTGCAAATGTCAGCTCACATTTGTCTATCGTCAGTTAGCTATTGTCGGTTGTCATGCATGCAGTTTGGAAAAGAAACATTTCAGCGTATAAAGACTAGTTTTACAAGTAACATGATGGTATGAGACTGATTAGAAACAGGTTCAAGTGCACGTGGTCCACGGTTATTTCGAGTTCGAATTATGTGCAATTTACGGCGGTGTTTGCGTTATAGCAAGGACCCCCGGGGGGGGTACTCCTTTATATGGGCCATATAGGTATGTGCGGCCCCAAAGGGTAGGGATTTACAGCCGTTTTGGTCATAATTAGGGTATCGATTTTGGCCATTTTGGTCTTAAATAGGGTATGGTTTTAACACTCTAGTCTTGAACTGGGTATGTTTCTTAGAAGAAGCTGCTTTTTCATCATTATCAATAAGACCATCACTTCATAACTTACCTTAGGGCAATTGTGCCAGCTGCAACGGTAATAAATAGGGCATCGAAGTTTTGGTCAGGTCATAAATAAGGTAGCAAAAATCGCAGATTTTGGTCATAAATAGGGTAAGGGCTTTAGGAAGTCGGCCGCAGACCCCCACCCAACTTTTCTGGGAGTGCCCCCCCCCCTCCCCGCCCCCCGGAGTAATGACGCGGAAGGATGGAGGAGTAATTTGACGATTGATGGCCAAGACTCTAGATCTTGGTAGATGATGACAGAACATAAACTCACGGAACGTCATCAAAGGCTGACAGGGGAGCCAGCACCTGCAGACCATTTGCCACTGTAGTCTTCAAGCGAAAATAGATTGATTTCAGTGGAAACCCCACAGAAATAAAGTGTAGACGTTCATTATTTTATTCTTTTTTTTCTTATCTTTTTGTTTAGACAACAAACAGGCAAAAATCTAAATTTTACATGAAACAGAAAAAGTACTATACATTTTACAGCAACTTTGAGCCTGAAGAATTATGATAAATAACATAACTACATATTAAATTAGACACTAAGGAGAGTTTTTACAAAAAATGCGCTCGACCACGGTGACCCTTTAACTAATTTTCAAGTAGTTCAAATCTAAGCCATTTCACTACTAATTAAAATAATAACTCGTTTCTGACCCATTCTTTTTTTCTGTCCGTCAAAATGACGACGGTCAGGCTAAGAAATGGCAAATGGACTAACCCTAACCCTAAGTCAAAATGATGTAGAAAATGAAAGTACATGAAATGACCTTTGGATCTGAGAGCGCAAAGCCCTTATGACGAAAGATCTACCTGTAATATGACGTTTAAGTAAACATTATTGCGAAATTTAGGTTGTTACAGGTTAGCATTCCGTAGCTTGTTTGGGAAGAAACTTTCTAGTTAGCTCGAAATCCTAAAGTCTTAAACGGTAAGTCGAGTGGTTGACCAAAGTCGTCTTGGCTTTCTCGGCCATGATCCTGTTGTCTTTCCTGTTCTTGGCTCATTAGGTCGGATGGTCTTTCGTTTGTCTTAAGCTTGTCCTCTCCATTCCTTCATTACAGCCTGTAAAGTAGGAAAAAATAATAAGAATATGTTGACAGAAATTACGTGAGAAACGTACACCGTACCGTAGATCAAAGTCGGATCGCGTGCCGGTCGGTCGCGGTCGGCATCAAAATTTTCCTAATGCTTTTCAGATATTTGCTCGCTCGGAGTAAGAAAATACAATCATTTAAAGCAAAGTAACATGTATTCTCCTCGAAGATCATTTAACGGCGTTGTTAATCTGGAATAATTCTCAGCACTGGGTCAACTCACCTTTCATACAGAGGGTTTTCAGAAAACTGGTCTTTCGAATTCGTTCCAACAAGTCTGAAAGACAAATGACAAAAAAATGAGGATCGAATCATGGCGTATGTTACTCTTATTTTATGCCGTAACTAACTCAAAACCAGNTACTAATTAAAATAATAACTCGTTTCTGACCCATTCTTTTTTTCTGTCCGTCAAAATGACGACGGTCAGGTTAAGAAATGGCAAATGGACTAACCCTAACTCTAAGTCAAAATGATGTAGAAAATGAAAGTACATGAAATGACCTTTGGATCTGAGAGCGCAAAGCCCTTACGACGAAAGATCTACCTGTAACATGACGTTTAAGTAAACATTATTGCGAAATGTAGGTTGTTACAGGTTAGCATTCCTTAGCTTGTTTGGGAAGAAACTTTCTAGTTAGCTCGAAATCCTAAAGTCTTAAATGGTAAGGCGATTGGTTGACCAAAGTCGTCTTGGCTTTCTCGGCCATGATCCTGTTGTCTTTTCTGTTATTGGCTCATTAGGTCGGATGGTCTTTCGTTTGCCTTAAGCGTGTTCTCTCCATTCCTTCATTACGGCCTGTAGAGTAGGAAAAACTAATAAGAATATGTTGACAGAAATTACGTGAGAAACTTACGCCTTACCGCAGATTAAAGTCGGATCGCGTGCCGGTCGGTCGCGGTCGGCATCAAAATTTTCCCTAATGCTTTTCAGATATTTGCTCGCTCGGAGTCCGAAAATACAATCATTTAAAGCAAAGTAGCATGTATTCTCCTCGAAGATCATTTAACGGCGTTGTTAATCTGGAATAATTCTCAGCACTGGGTCAACTCACCTTTCATACAGAGGGTTTTCAGAAAACTGGTCTTTCGAATTCGTTCCAACAAGTCTGAAAGACAAATGACAAAAAAATGAGGATCGAATCATGGCGTATGTTACTCTTATTTTATGCCGTAACTAACTCAAAACCAGGATTGGAGCTATCCTTTAAGTTTTTCTCCCGTGGCGAGGAGAGGGGGCTCCCAAATAAAATTGACGGGAAAATCATTGAGAATTTTGATAGGTGAGCAGTCAATTCGTTCCTGTCATAAAAAGCCTGTTAATGTTTGTTACCAGAGTAACCCTGTAAGTGGTCCTGCACGGTATGTACACCAGGCACACTGTATGCGATATCAAGCCAGTAATTTTAAACCACAAAAGATACGCTTTATGGGAGCCCCAAAAACGGGATGGTTTCTCCCAGTAAAAATAAAGATAATAGAATTATCTGCAGAAAAAAATAGATAATTCATGTACTGCTAACGGATTTTGTTAAGACAAAATAGATGTGAATGTTTTAACTCATCAAGGTTTGCTTTGGAGTTCGTTCCAGATTCAGGTTACCTGTTGTCGTAGATGGGATTATCGCTTTGCTTGTCTGCGGAGAATAGTCGTTCCATTTCACTGCTGTAGAAGAAAAAATACGATAGAGCTATCGTAAAAGACGTTCTCGCTACGGTGTGTCACGCTAAGCCAGAGGCTCGAATTTAATGCACGCACCGGGGACTCTTGTTACTACAGAAACGACCGCAGACTAGTCTCCAGTTACACGCAAGCGTTAGTTGCCTACATCAGTTTTTACACATTCTTTTGGACACCTTTTGAACAGGGGAAAACCGCCTTTGTCAATATTGAAATGTACAGCTGGTGAAACTTAGCAGATATCTCGAGTTAATTTCTAGCTAACACTAAATTAGTCTCCTTCGCAGCCGTTTTTTGGGATGTCATGCAACTGGGGGAGCGTTGCGTGACATCCCAAAAAACGGCTGCGGAGGAGACTAACACTAAATTGGATCAGACTATTTTTGGTTATAATCTTTTCTCGCGGTAAATATGAGTTCGGGAAGCGTGCAAAAAGCGATCCATTCTTCGTGGATCGCTCCAGCGATCTCTCTCGCCGTTCTGACAATGATTCATCTAATTTTCTCGCCATCCTTAGATCAGCAGAAGACATGGTTCGCCTTAAAAGATGAGTTATGCGTGGTCCCTCCGAGAAAATTCTGCAGTAATGGCTCATTTATATGTTTCCCGCGGAAGTTTGCCGCGTCGACATTGGTGACCTTGAGGACAAAAATGGCGGGCTTGTACCTTTGTCATGGTTTAATTTAACAAGGGAGCCAAAGCTGCTGACACCCTCTATGCTGGTACTACTTTCGCTTTACTCGTTGGAAATCTGCCCCGGAAAAATCCTGCCGAAGGAGAATTTTTCAAATCAGAGATCTTCCAACATTTGAGAANTTGGTTTAATTCAACAAGGGAACCAAAGCTGCTGACACCCTCTATGCTGGTACTACTTTCGCTTTACTCGCTGGAAACGTGCGCCGGAAAAATCCTGCCGAAGGAGAATTTTTCAAATCAGAGATCTTCCAACATTTGAGAAGGGTTCTAACCAGAGACTTGTGGTTGTCTCGAACAGACGATCGCGATCCTCTTGAGTCTACTCTGAGAAGTAGCGTTTTGATCCCAATTCTGATTGGTTTAAAATTACAAAGATTGGAGTTTTCAAGTTACAGGAATGCAAAGGTGAAACAAGACTTCAAAGTCGTTCTCGTCGTTAAAACCCAAGGAAACAGTCAAGACCAACAGCCTGTAATCCGGTCTGTGCAGTTGAAATATGAATGTATTTCTTAAAAAGGCGTGGTCATGAGCACGTGGTGCCTTTGCATCTATCTTCATACATAATACCTACACGATTGCAGATGCTGGAGCACTGGGTTCACCTGATTCTCTCACAGAGTTATTCTTGTTACCCTTTTGAGCACGTTTTGTACGGAGACGATGTCTGTCAAAGAAAGATGTGCCAGTCAACCATAGATAAACGTGCCAAGCATAAAGTAGGGGGGCTGGTGGGATTTAGGGGGGTCATGCCAGACAAAAGGGGAGCAGAAATAAATGGTGTTTAAAGGAGCGCCGCTCAAAATATTACCTTATTGACGGCTTCAACAATAGGGCAAAAGTTCTACCAGAATTTCTAAAATAGCGTTCCTGACGTTATAAAAATGCATAAATTTCTCGGGGGAGCATGCCCCCGGACCACCATACTTTGTTACGTACTCTATAGCAGGAACTAAGCCCGCACTAAGCATTTGGTTCACGCTACGGACCTGGAAGCAACCATTTTTTGAAATGCCGGGATATGAAAAAGGTACCAGCTTCGTAAAATAAATTTAATTTCTCGAAAAAAAAATCCTCTTAACGTCATTTCCACGTTTACTTCCGTTCCCTTCCATTTTCTAACGAATTGCGTGCGTCATGATTGAGCTGAATATCTAACGAATAGATGATTAGAGGAATAGTGTCCCAGCTGATTACTGAAAGTTTCATTTTGAAATTTCTTTAGTTTGAACAGATTGTCATTAGGCTCCTTGAACATATCATTAGAACTTTCTAGAACGTAATTAATAAACGCCCAGAACAACATTGTCCGACAACCTTTTATTTTTGAGTCGTTATCCGCGAAAATCACCGAAAACTAACCCTTATAAACAGATAAATAGCCTCTAAAACGGCAAAAAATTGATTCTGTGTAAATACCTCGATGGCAGAAATTAAACAGCATTTACTCGGTCAACGATAAACATACAGCTTAGGTACATTGGAATTATTAGTTATGTTTCAGGTAGAATCCGGTGTTTAAAATCTATATGGTGAATTGAGATAGTAGCGATTATATTGTGTACGTACCTTCTCTTGAAAAGATGGTACACCAAGAGCAAAAGTCCGAAAACAAGCACAGCAAAAGAGCCACTTGCGACAATTATGTACTTCAATGGGATGCTAGTAACGACGTTTGAATGTGGCTCCACATCTTTGGATGTTTGTACCCTGTGAGTGTTTTCTGCTGTCTTCTCTTCCTTCTTGCTGTTTGTTGGCTTCGCGGACGTAAGTTCGCGTCTTTCTGTTTGTTTTCCCTCCGGAGTTTTCGACAGATCACTGGATGATAAACTCTTTCTTTTCTTACTACTTTTATCCATTGTTGTGCTGTGTGTAGCTTGAATAGGTTCGGTAGTAAAGGCTGGACCTTTTGTAGAAGTAAGTTTGTGTTCCAGGGACCACCACGTCAGCTGTTGAGATGCTGATACCAGCCGGAAAAATAGCAAGTCAGCTTTCGATTGGACACTTAACTACTTATCAACTTGAATTTCGTAAAGGTAAATTAACCGTCGTAGCGATTTTGTGAAGCTGACTTTTCGAGCGTTAGATAGCTCTTCGTCAGGCAAAGAGAAATCAGGCTGATGAAAGTTGACATGAGACTACTGGTTTGAAACGGAGAAGCCTATATTAAGACAATGCCTTCCCGTTCATACGAGGTACGAAAAAAATTGTATAACTACAGTGTAGCAAACAGTAATTGTTCCTGCAATGCTAAGCATGAAACACTAGACATTTAAGGACGTTCGCGCGAAAATTTTCCAGTCCATAGATTTTTTTTTTAATTTTACTGCAGTCAGATAATGAGTCACTTGTGTCTGGGGGTCACCGACTTCGTTTCAGAGATAAAGCGTGTGGAAACAACCTTGATTCTGAAAAATTGGCGCACGTAATTCAGCATGGTCTACAGGGGTTTATAGTTAAAAATATCGAAGGTGAGTCAACGGAGTTGAGTATTTTGTAGGGTCTGTTGCGTAAATNATTGGCGCACGTAATTCAGCATGGTCTACAGGGGTTTATAGTTAAAAATATCGAAGGTGAGTCAACGGAGTTGAGTATTTTGTAGGGTCTGTTGCGTAAATAATTCCAAATGTTACCAACGTTTTCACAAAACTTAACCCTTCAAAAGGCATTTGAAACCGTCGCGTGCACAGATACTGAAACGAAGAGCTAAAAAGAACGGAATTCGATGGTGCATTTTGCAAAAACCTATTGTACTTCTAGTCAATAGATTTTCTTCATTTTTTCGCTAAACGTAGAAAATCGGTAGAGAAAATGATCCATCAAAAAAAAATAGGGGTCACCAAACGTCCAAGATCGTTAAATCCAGGAAAAGCTATAGCAATGGCCATCTGCCCCATCATTGTTCATTTTATTGCTTAGCGCGCGCTCTCATGCATGACGTGGCGTGTGAATTTGCGTGCGCAGTAAAGATGCACAGAAACAATTAGTGCGAACGTCCTTAAGCTAATTATACCTTTGACTGTAGCTGGAACTGATGTGTAAGATGCGTTGAAACCTTTTGCCGATATCACGTGATCAGAATAAAACGTTACCATCATTTTATTGGTAGATGACTGAATGATTGGCAGCGGCAATTTCGTCATACAATATCTTCCAAGAGTAGTGACGTCAGCCTTCACTGACTCTTCCTTGACTTCCACATAGTCACAGCTGCACCGGCTATTTCCGCACGAGTAAGGATTGGATTCCAGCTCGAAGACTCCGAATCGTAGTTGTATTACGTAGCCTTTAGGTGCAGTGATGTTCCACTGACAATCTTGAAAGTTGTGGTAGTTTTCTGGGTAATATGGCGAGGCAAATACGCCACTTGACTTATTAAAGTTCCACTTGCATTCTAGGAGAATATCAACATGAAAAACGTCAGCGTTACTTGTTTAGTTTTCCAGTAAAATATAGTCCAACATCAAATTTAATCTTGCGCGTCATACCAGTGACCTTTTTCTTTCGGACTTCAGTTATCTGTGCACGTTAACAACTAATTCTGTTGCTGTCAAGTAACAATAAAACTCGGGTTTGGCTACTTGAAGGGTTTGGTCTTTCAGCCATTTCATGTAGTAAGAATAGAGGGTCTGCACATTGATTGTACTTTATGTTAAATGGTTAATGGGTTAAATGAATTTATTTTTTCTCTTTGTGACCAGCTTATTTCATATATGTACTGATTTTATGTAAAAATAATTATCCGTCTTGCTCTTGGAGTTTTCAGAAAAGGATTAACTTGAACTTGTATGGATGGGTGCAAACAGTGAGACTGTATAAATCTGCTGAAAATGGCTAAAAAAGGTGTTTTGAAATTGATTCTTAGAAATGAGTCTTAAAATCGCTCTTGGATCAAAAGTATCCCTTCCACGACTTTCAAGAGTTGTTACAGGTTTTAATAGGTGTTTAATGGTGATAATAAGTAGTGTTCTTGTCACTCTGTTTATGAAAGACGAGAACGAAAGCTTTACCTCGATAGTAACAGTAATAAATCGTGGGCTGTCTTAGATTAGCACCATATGGGTAAGGATAAGCTCTTGCGTCCTGATTGTTGGTATTCTCTGTATCAAACACCACGTGCTCCAGTGAATACACGGCTCCCTGGACCTCTTGACAAGTGGTCGACTCGAACGCTAGTAGATAAAATGGCTTATTGACTGGAAGCGAAACCCGTTTCTCGACAGATCCCGTCGTCATGCAACAGAAATATATCATGGTATCCTTGTTGTAAAGTCCAGCGGGAAGTTCCCCACCTTTGCTATTGCGGTTGGAACCGTTGTTTCCGTTGTCGTCGTCCCAAAGAACAGATCCCTTGTGGAAATCTGGTGGACAAAGGTCACCTTTCTTATAAATACAGTACTTTCCGTTTGGCCATTTAGGCTTTCCTTCGTCTGCCTCGGTCGAGTTTTTCACGCAGAAGTAACGCTTTATTTCTGGTTTTCCGATTTTTGTCTTCAGGTGGATGTTCGGAGAATGCCTGTTTCGGTTCTGATCCCTTTCTAGTTCTTCGGTTCGGTGTCCCGTGTACCAGGTAAATCCACCACCCTCGGGGCATCCCGAGTCTGCCATTGGTAGGGCATACGTGTCGGCGGGCCACATAGAGGATGCTGAGTAGAAAAAGCATATGGTGCCATATTCAAGACTTTAGATAATCGGTTAATAGCCATATTATAGATGTTATTATCTTTGTCATTTTTACCCCTCTTCAGTTGCGTGACCCGCGGTAGATGTAAACCCCGGTATAGACCCCCAGCTTGCGCATGTATTAAGCTGAGATTTTCGTTTCGTGGACTAAAATCCTTGTTTGAGTGTTCAAACCACTTCAAGTAGGAAATATAAATGTGTTGAAGTGACGTTTGGCACGTGCCTCCCTGAAACAACAAACGAGTTCGATCCAAGCGGTTTAAATATTACTGCGCTGTTTGGCCCTCTGAATTCATGATTTACATGTACATCATCTAGTTTTATATTCATCCCAAAAGATTAAAACGGATGAGAATTTTATATACATCTATATCGACCTTGGAACTAATATAATATAGTGCGCATAGTATGAATACAGTTAATTTTGGAACAGTACACAATGAAGTGCTTATATTTGTAGCCAAAAACTCAACAGAGCTTTCACAGAGAGTAAAAACCTACATGGTCATGATTTCATCACTTGCACGCCCCGCTCTTGACACATTGGAAGCGTGATCAGTTTTAAAGACGCTAAGGTGTCAGCTGTCTCTTCTAAAAGTGGAAAGATTTCAATTATCACAGTGTGATAGCTGCAATAGCCACGTCCTTCGTAATTCTTCACGGAACGGGTTGTTCTGAATATTGCAGCCTAACCCCTAATCCTTTTTCTGATGGTTCCTCGAGCTAAGCACCCAATTTAAGCGAGGAAACGAAGTTAAGTATTCAACAATTTAAGTATTACGTAACTGCCGGAAATCCACGACCTTTCCAAGCCAAAATTATATCTGTCTGATTTAGTAGCACCTTGTCAGATTTTGGCCTGCTATGGCGCACAGCCAGTTTTGTTTCAAAACCCCAAACCTGCTATTGTAAAAGTTGGACAAATATTACTTATATAAAAGATTAGCAAACATATCCATGAACACCACTTTGGAGAGACTACACTCAGAAAATCTCTGAGGGGCTCTTTATATTCTCGTATCGAAGCTCAATGTATGTAGCGAAACAAATTAAAAAAAAAAAAAACACACAGAGAGGCGGCTTTGAAAATATTCTAGGCCTGTAGAGGTCATTTACATAATTGTTTTTTTAGAATATGGATTCTAGTCCATAAAGCTAAGAAGATAACGCTATTACTAGAATGTAAGGAGGTTTGAACAATATTGAGACGTAATACGGTTAAATGAAGTTATCGTTTATAATCATTGCTCTTGTGTGGAGTAATGGTTTCTGTTTATATCATAAATCAGATGCACAACACTGCCCTCTAATTTGGCCTCAGTTGCTTCAAGATGGCACCGAAATAAATCTGCCTCTAAAGACGGTAAATAATGTTGACTTAACAATCCAAGTTTTCCCGTTTAATACGGAAAGAAAGAACGTCAAAGAGTTGATATTTATTGTAAAAGCATGCTTATTGCGTTTTTGGTTTTCAAAATAGAGGTCTCAAAGTTATCATCTGGCCGGTATATTGCGCAAGCCATTTACTTATTGTCACATTTAATTCGAAGCTATTTTAATCAAGCATGTTCACCTGAGCTTCGTCTTTCCGCCCTGACTATCTAGACTCACAAGACGTTCTATGTTATATCGGCATCGCTGGGTTATACTTCAACAGCGCTTATTTGGTGAATACGGTCAGTATTACCTTACCTGTGGTGTGAACAAAACACAGAACTTCAGCAAAAGAAGCAGCACACAAGATAAAGAAGAGGATTCTGCTCGATGCGTCCATACTACCCGATTGTTCAAAGTTCATTCGGAAAAAAGCATTTCGCGGGTTGTTGGAGCTTAGAAGCACGGCCGGCTCAACACAGCAGCAATCACGACAAATATTATCTTCGCGCAATTGGCCAATTAAAAGTGTGAGAAACAATTAGGTCAGCGTGAATCCTTCCAATTGCAGCTTATCAGGAAATGAGAGATCTTGACGATTTACAGGAAAGCGCGCTTAGACAGCAAGGCTCCCATTTAATTTGGGTTTTTAATCAGCACAGATGTGACTACATGTGATTTGCGGCGCAGAGGTACGGTCAGTAATGAGCTCCTGGTACGGTCGGTCAAAAGAGCAGGTATAAAATAGTTCCACCTTTATTGTTGCCCGCACAGATGAAATAGCCCGTGGAAAGAATAGTTTATCTTCTTCGACTACCGGCATTTTTAATTTATTTAGAGGCGGCTACAGATGGTCGCTCTATTAACAACACTGGGAGAACTCATCTATGTTTCCATGGAAACTGACCAGAAGTAAAGTTAGCATTTTTCTTCTTACTCGCAAGAGTTCTTAAGCCTTCCGTTAAATTAAAAAACTCAAATTTACTTTTGCAAAAGGCGAATTCCAGCAAGAAACCAATGCTAAATAGCTAGCCATGGGATATTTTGTTGCATATCATATGCGGATCTGAAAGTTACTGAAAAATAGAAAAGGGTTAAGCTCTGAGAGTGAAAGAGTAAATCTGTGAAACTGAAAGTTATTTTCATCAAATTCTTTATTTAAACCTTTTGTCTATATGAAACGATCGACGCTACACAGTCAGTTGATATCCTTTTCATGTGGACCGATCCAGCGTGCAGTGATCATGATATCATGAGACTATGTGATAGAAGTTAGTTAGTGTTATATTTTACAACATTTATTTTTATGTTTATTAACTCTCAGAAAACGAAGTCCATGCTGGTAACAGACAAACGTTTGCGGAACCTTGTCGCCTCTACCTCAGTAGATATTAACTTGAATGGAAGGAATATTGAACATGTTACTGATTTCAAACTTCTTGGGGTAACGTTAGATCAGGATCTTTCATTTAATCGTCAGATTGAGGAGTTATGCAAAAAGTTGGCGAAACGTATTGGGCTCCTTCGTCACATAAGTCCTTATTTGAAACGCAATCAACGAGACATATACTACTCTACGATCATTAAACGTGAAATGCTTTGCGGTAGCACGATTTGGACTTCTTGCAGTAAAGAAAATCTTATAAAAGTCCTGCGTCTTCAAAAACGTGCGGCTAGAATTATCCTCGATGCCGAAAGAACAGCACCTTCTGTCGGCTTATTTAACACCTTAAAGTGGGTTCCCNCCGGTTTTGCCTTTTCTCAAAGCTCTAATTGTTCCCCAAATTGTTTACAACATGGTGAGCTAATTACAATGGGTACAGTGCTTCGTTAACGGGTGGATCGATGCTGCATGATTAAAACTCAAGGAAACTATAAAATCAATTCGTTCAACATACGTGATACTAAAGCATTGTTATGAGGAATGAATATTTAACATTTCAATTCACGAAGACACAAATTAATACCAATCCTTGTCAAAGTGATATTTGGTTTGATTTCAAAAATATGAGGCAATTTGACAATCAAAAACATCAAATTGCCTTGCAGTTCAATTGATACGTGTTCACAACGGTTATTATTGCTGTCGTGGTAGGCAGATGGAATAAGACCTTTTTTAAAGTATGTGATAACTGCGACGAGTTCAAGTACACCAGAACTATTGAATCTACAGAATCTGCAGCGAGGTCAGCCAAGTTTGCATCCAAAAAAGCGTTATAAAGATAACTTGAAGCACAATAAACACAGTAGCATCTTTAAGAACGACTCAGTCACTGATTACTCAGCTCCTACTAACGTCATTGTTGTCATCGTAAACTTTATCCTCAACGCCACTCTGATGCTCATAGCCATTATTGGCAACTCGTTAGTGATTGCGGCCATTTTCAGGACTCCAAGACTTCGCTCACCGTCTACAACTTTGCTCTGCAGTTTGCCTGTCTCAGACTTTCTTGTAGGAGTTTTGGATCAACCGCTTTACATTGCTAAAGAAAAAACATACAATAACTTGCTGGGTTATATTTGATCTTTTATGACTTATGGCACCTGTGGAGTTTCCCTTTGCACAATGACGATTATAAGCTTGGATAGATTTGCGGCCCTTCACTACCACATGAGATATGTTACTATGGTGACTACAACTCGGGTCCTTTACGCATTGGTATTACAAAAAGGCTGAATGGCAATACCCCGGAATATATAAATGATTTACTTATCAGAAACTCTGACACTCATAATAGATCAACCCGTTTTTGTAATATAAACTTAATGTGCCCTCGATTTAAGAGAAGTACTGAAGGGGGTCGAGCGTTTGCTGTGCAAGCCACAAAAGAATGGAACAACTTAAATGTGGACATCAAACAGAGTATCAGTGTAAAAAATTTTAAGCGCTTCCTTTTAAAATAATTTTAGACAATCAAATTCTTAGCAAACTATTCCTGTAATGTCGAGGAAAAGGTTGTTGTTATTCATCGTGGTAGATGCAATAATAAAGTGTATTATCGTTTGTCTCACGATGTAGTCACTTGAGATGTAGATCGCGACGTTNAAGCGCTCCCTTTTTAAAATAATTTTAGATAATCAAATTCTTAGCAAACTATTCCTGTAAATTTTTTTAAAATTTGTAAATAACCACATTTTATAAATATTTTACGATGTATGTAGGCTTAATTATTTTATTTTAATTATTTTTAATATTGTTACGATTGTACTATTTCTTTCTTTTTCTAAAATTTTAATTTTTGAGGGCGATTAGGTTATCAGTTTTAATACTGTCAAATGTTACCCTCGTAAAATAAAGTCTTACCTACCTACCTACCTACCTACCATTACTTTTCTTTGATGACCCTGGTGTGAGGCCCAACTTTTGCTTGATGTTTTTTGCCTGGGTGTAATTTCGTGGAAGGGAACTAGTACTGGCAGCTCCACTAACCCCTCCAACATTCTTGACTGTTTGGAATAATGCCCTCTTAGTGTTCAACTTAACATCTGCAACATTCTGTGCTAACGTTTCTTTGGTGCTTTCTTTCGTCCTGACACATGACTGAGTTGACTTGACCCTGCGGTTACCATGTGGGACAACAGTGAACTGTTGGGGTTCACCATCAAAATAATAATGGAGCAGAACGATCGGGTACCATTTGTCTATGTCCTTTCCATACTCAATAGATATAATTGTTTTATGATAGTCTGGACATGACTTGCATACATAGGGTCGCCTGCGAACAACAATGTCAGCATTCTCCTGACTTTTGTTTAGAGAAACAACTTGACCATCTGCATCCTTTTCAACACTGTAATACTTACTTCAGCTTCCTTTCATTGTCCACACTCCATTGTCATCTGCAAACACATCCCTCCGGTTTGCAAGCTTATCAAGGTCTATTAGAAATGTTCCATTCTCCTGAATGGCATGTGGTACACTACTGCTGATGAGCTCTTCATTGTCATTCTTGCAGTTCATTAGAAGTGGAACCACAAAAGGATTTTATAGACTCTCCAACTTCACAATTTTGCAATCCCTATTACCTCTAAATGGTACTATTTCCTCTCGTCTGAACTTTCTTGGTGAGTGAGACACATCAACCTGTATCACCAAAAATACTGAATCAGAAATGTTATTTGTTTTTACATGTGCTTAATAATACATGTCGTAAGGATCTCAACCTCCCACTGTTCAAGAGTATTGCAAGGTTTTGATGAGCAATTAATCTGTATCATCTTAAGTTCATGCTAGTGCCTCAGGCTAAATACAAAGCCATTATGGTGATATGCACAGCTACCTTCAAAATTCAAAGAAACACTAAAAAAAAATTTCCAAAGGAAGAAGTCTCATCCAAACGAGCATTTCAGTGGGAAATAATTTCCTGATATACTAGATTAGAAAGACAATTGGAAACAAACAAATTTTCATAAGTCTGCAACATTTGTACATTGATAGTCAACATAGACAAAGCAAGGCAGACCAAAGCACCTTACAGTATTTGTGTCATAAAATAACATCATTAAAAGAACATATTAATTATGGGTCCGTTAAAATCAGTTTTGATGTAAACACTTGGTTGTAGAACAACTGTATATACATTAATAATTATTCAGTATCAACACATGGTTGATTCATTACCTGATTTTCTTGAAACTTGCTATCATCATCACTAGAGTATACCTCTATAACAATATCTTTACTCCTGCAAAATAAAGGAAAATGATATAAATATTCACTTTTCATTGTGTTTATTCAGGATAAATTAGCAAATCAGCTATTAATTTATCTCCCACGCCATTAGTTGGGGAATGGTAAAGGTAAGGTAAAGGTAAAGTCTGCATGCGAGCCAAGTGGCCCATCAGGCCGGAGCTTATCCCGGTTTCTGTAGCATAAAG